TAGCTCCTCACAATCCGCTCCGAGCAACACTTGGTGAAGGATCTTTCTTTGTATGTTTTATAGCCTAGCTGTGGAGTCAAGCTTTCAGCTTAGCTCTTCGCAAAATTCTCGCAACCCCTCTAGGAAAGGCGCCTATTCTTTGTATGCTCTACTCTAGTTGCTTTCGTAGGTGCCAGAATTCGAAGATGATCCAAATGTAGGCGATAATATTGTGCATATTCTTACTGGGCACTCTTGATTGTTGCATTCGCTGGTAGTACTGTCGAGTCCCAGTACACTGCAATCTTTTCCTCCGTTTGCCGGTGGTGGATTGGTACACGTTCGTTTTCGCATCTTCACCCCGCCCCTACAAGTCTTGGAACAGTCGCCATATGGTTTCCAATCGGAGTAACCTCCGTTAACTACAAAAGGCGAGTGAGGAAAAGCCAATTTTGTATTTCTGAAGCAGGCTTAAAAGCCTGCTTAAGTATTCGGTCTAGGAACGAAAAGGTTGTATTTGGAATTTCTTAGATTATGTGAGTGAACACTGGATATAAGATGTAGACTTAAAAATGATATTTAAACTAGTCAGAGAAGGATTTTGGAGAGCCTTAAACAAAATAATTGCTAGTGGCTTAGCACGCTTTGGCTCCAAAGAATCCCACCTGAGGTCACCGAGTAAAGTGGAAGTTCTTATCTTCAAGTCAGGGAAAGTAATTAAACGCGCATCCTTATTTTGTAGTTTTTGGAGTCTCTTAGAATGACACACACCTATGCTGCCCCATACAGTATGGTTGGATGAGAGTATGGTTGGATGAGAGCTTTATAGATCGTGGTAAGAGTCTCACGGGAAACTAAGTTCCTGACACGCTTGATAGCCCCGAAGACGGCAGAGGCTTTCATTGTTTGCCTCTCGGATTTAAAAATACATCGCTTCAAAATTCGAAATACTATTTTCAAAAGGCACAAAAAATTTACTTATGGTGCTCAAGAAATGGCTCAGAAACTGCTTCACACGATGCAGTCCTTAATCATCAGGCACGTTGTAAAATACCTGCGCGGTAATTGAAAATGCCCTTGCAAGGTTTAGTGTGCTCAAAGATAAAGTTGAGTCCGGACGTTATCTATGAATTACAGAGCACCATCAGTAACTGACGTCAAAGGCGCTAGAAACTGGCAGTTTAGCAACTGTTTGGCCTGGACAGATATTTGACTACTGAATCAAATAAGTAAAGGATGGGTGAAGGAATTTTTTATTGCAAGAAAGAGGTTTTTGCAGTTGTTACTCCGAGATCTATGAATATCCCTTTATACATATTTGCAATTTGTAGTTTAGGATTAATTGTAACAAAGTTAAAAACAGTCTCATTATACCTGGACATCCTTGGATGTTGCATTCCATGGTAGAAGTGTCAGGTCCAAGGACACCGCAGTCTTCTCCTCCGTTTGCCGGGGGCGGATTGATACATGTCCTCTTTCGCGTCTTCACCCCACCTCCACAAGATTTTGAGCACTCGCCGTACGGTCCCCAATCCGAGTAATTACCATTTACTATATAGAAGCGAGATAAGAAGACCCAAATCAGACCTCTCAGAACGATGTATTCTATGGATTACTTACATATTATTTGAAAGTGAATAATTGCTCATTTTTTCACCAAAAGCTTGGATATCCGCCGTTATCTGGGAAAACATTATATGGCACGGTAGCTTTCTTTCAGCAATAAATGCTTTAGTGTGTGTTATGGAATTTTACACTTTAGCTGTGTTACCTGGTGGGAAGCTAATCATATTTGGGTCAATAACGGCAAATAATACACATTGTATAGATTTAACCAAGCCCAAATGCGGAGTTCCTGGGCGTGGTTATTTGAAGCCTGATTAAACTAACCGAGGATATTGTTAAACTGAACACGTGTATGCTTTTTTATGATTATTTCCACCATGATAAGTTTCCTAATTTACCTGTTTCATTAGGATCTGAACTACATATTACAGTACCCGTAGTGCATCATCCAACCAAGTTGCAATACCTTCATTTCGAACTAATCTTAGGAGATTTTGCCCCAGCATTATTGGAAGTTTCTTTTGGAATAATATTCCGCAATCCATTAGAGACAAACCATCTAAAAAATGTTTAGAAAAGCACTTTCACGCTGGTACCTTGCTCAATACTAATGAAAACATTATCTCTTTATAACTTTCTGAGCTATTTTGTCATTTTTCCTCTTCTCTTTCTTTTTCTTTTTCTTTTTCTTAATAATCTCAAGTTATACACAACTTTAAGGGGTACGAAATTAGTTTATCTAGATGTGCCCCTCTCCTCTCCTCCTCTGCAATATACGATGTAATTTAATTTAAGTGATGTAATTTCTGTTTTTTGCGTTTTTTTCTTCCTTACAAAGCACTATCGGTTACTTTTTACTTTCTTTACGTTATATTTACATATCTATGTATTAGCTAGGAATTGGAAGAATAAAATAAAAAAAAAAAATTTAAAAAAATTTTAAAAAAAACGAGGATAAGCAAGAATTTTGATCTATTTGGGTGTTTTGTCCTTAACAAGGCCGTGAGGTTTTCTGCTTATATTGTTTGGCCTTCTCAGTTTGAGTAATCTTAAGCTACAAAAAACATAAGCAGTGAAAAACATTTTTATGGCAGAAAAATTTAAGTCTCGATTAATTTTTAATCCTGGGTTAGCGTTAATCGGCTCAGTTCCAAACAACCCGGCCCTGATTACGTTAAATGGACCTAGATTGAGCCAGCAATTCAATCGTGGAATTGTGGTCCCTTTTCTCTTCGTGGGTTGGGTGAACCAGGTTGCTAGTCGTCACCTAGGCCTTTTGGAACTTATCGGTTGCTATTTGTCCATTTTACCTGGACACTCCTTATTGCTGCATTCCCTGTTAGAACTGTCTGGTCCCAGTCCACTGTAGTCTTCTCCATCATGTGATGGTGGTGGATTGGTACACGTTCTTTTACGCGTCTGTTCTCCACCCCCACAAGTCTTTGAACATTTACCGTACGGTCCCCAATCTGAATAACCACCGTTCACTACGAAAATGGATAACAGTATAAATAAACAAAAATATGTTTACCTGCTGCAATCCCGTTCTATGTTCCCATAATAGTAATAATTTTATTTACAAAGCGNCGAAAATGGATAACAGTATAAATAAACAAAAATATGTTTACCTGCTGCAATCCCGTTCTATGTTCCCATAATAGTAATAATTTTATTTACAAAGCGCCAAATTTTCTAACTGCCCATGATGCCCATTACAACAAAAATAGGGAAAAGTACCAAAAAAGCATTTATAAAAAAAATTAAATGATAACAATCAAAATAGCTTTTACAAACTAAATAGGTGAAATGTCTATTGGAAAAATGTAAAAGCAATTCAGGTAATTTTAAAATGTCTTTTGATTATGGCAATAAAATCCCAACAGCTTAAGTCATACGGAAGAATGCTTCACAACCGTTTTTCCTGGAACACTAGGCAAAGGCCTCGAATATATATTTTTGTATATATATTAGCCAATCAAAGGAGTCTTACTTTTAGCCTAGCTCTTCACAATATTCTCCCAGCTACTCTAAGGAAGGTTTTCCTTTGCCTTTGCTAGTCTAGTTACTTTCGAAGGTGCCAGAATTCGAAGTCGCTGATAAGATGAACCAAATGTACAATAATATTGTCCATATCCTCACCTGGGCACTCCTGATTGTTGCATTTGCTGGTACTGCTGTCGGGTCCCAGTCTACTGCAATTTTTTCCTCCGTTTGCCGGTGGTGGATTTGTACACGTTCGTTTTCGCGTCTTCACCCCACCTCCACAAGTCTTGGAACAGTCGCCATACGGTTTCCAATCCGTGTAACCTCCGTTCACTATAAAAGGTGAGTGACGAAAAGCCAACTTTGCATTTCTTTACAATTACGATAAGTGGAACGAGTTTCATGGTATCTTCAGTCTAATTATACCTGGACATCCATGGATGTTGCATCTCATGGTATAAGTGTCAGTTCCAAGGACACTGCAGTCTTTTCCTCCGTTTGCTGGGGGCGGATTGGTACATGTCCTCTTACGCGTCTTCACCCCACCTCCACAGGATTTTGAACACTCGCCGTAAGGTCCCCAATTCGAGTAATTACCGTTTACTATATAAGCGAGATAAGAAGAAACAAAGCAGACCTCTCAGAATGATGAATTCAATGGATTACTTGCATATTATTTGGAAGTAAATATTTCGCAATAGCTGTCTAATTTTTCGTGCGCTGATTGACTTATTTTTATCATCAATAAGAGTACAGACGGAAAAAAAAAATTAATTTAAGCAAGCTTTCAAGTTTAACTTTCAGGTCTCAAATTGTCAACTTTTTAACCAATGAGATTTTATAGACTTTTTTAAGTACATGTAGCCAATAAAAAGCGAGAAGAGCTATTGAAAATGTTTGCGTCATTTTCAATAAACTTCACTTATCTTTGTTTACGGCAAGTTTACGGTGTCTTTTCCTCGCATTTATTCCCAACAGTTTGACCATTTTGGGGTCTTTTTATTGTAAAAAGCAAATTGACGTCAGTTTTTTACACGTCTGTCCTCATATTAATGATAAATTTCGTCGTAACATTCTCAAAGTTTACTGCGGAACCACTCGCCTGCGCAAGTGGTTCCAAGGCCACTTTGACTATGTTATGACGTAATATATCGCGAAAGAGAGAACAGACGCATAAGAACTGACGTCAATTTGTTAAAACTGCTCACTTTTTACCGATAGCTTGCGTACCCGCCGTTATCTAGAAAAGCATTTTATTGCACGGTAGCTACAGGTTTGTTTTAGTAATGGATGCTTTAGTGTGTGCTATGGAATTTCACACTTTGGCTGTGTTACTCAATGGGAAGCTAATCACAGCTGGGTCAATAACGGCAAATAGTATATAGATTTAGCCAAGCCTAAAAGCTGAGCTCCTGGGCCTTTTTGTTACACATGTTGATTAAGCTAACCCAGGATAAGCGAGAATTTTGATTGGTGTGTTTTCTCTTTAACTCGGCGGGGGGGGGGGG